AGAGATATATATATATATCTGTGCCATGGTGTTTAAGGAATATCATTCCAGTTGTGCATGGAGAATGGATTACTTTGAGGAGATGTAGGAAGATATATATATATATATATATATATATATATAAAATTTACAGTTTTACAGGGGCGCCTGGGTGGCTCAGTCCTTAAGCATCTGCTTTCGGCTCCCGTCATGACCCCAGGGTCCTGGGTTCGAGCCCCGCATCGGGCTCCCTGCCCGGCGGGAAGCCTGCTTCTCCCTTTCCCACTCCCTCTGCTTGTGTTCCCCCTTTCGCTGTGTCTCTCTCTGTCAAATAAATAAAATCTTTTAAAAAAATTTACAGTTTTACAAATTACATACATGTTATCATTCTAATACAATTTATGATTTTATACATTATATAAAATTAACATAACTTAATATTTAAAATTGTATTTTAATGATGGCAACATGTTCTGAGGCATTGTCAGAAATGTAGTTCACTGTGAAAGAAAGAAAAATGCCCAACACCTCAGTCTCAGGTTTGTGTTTCCACAGGGACGGGGGATACACACACTCTGAAATGCTCTGTTTTTTCCAAACAAGTTTGTTTAAGCCAGGTTTCCTATCCTCCTCCTTCTCAGCTCAGGGTGAATCTTCCAGCATAGACAGCTTCGGTGAAACTTTCAGAGGCCAAATCAGCTTTGCCTATCGCCAATTCGTGACATTTCTTTTCTACCTATGTTTGCCAGTCCAGGGGTTCCTATAGCATAAAGCTGTAAAATCCTATATTCAATAACATAAATCATATTTATTTCCACAGGCAAAATCAAGAGCTCTCCCGCTCAAAAACTCCCATTAGTTCAATGTAAATTGCCTCTAGAAATGCCAAGGGTTTTCCAGCCCGGACACAGTTGCCAGAAAAGGTGGACATCTGTTCGTGTGAGCTGAGTTCATTTTGTGAAGGTCTAGTAGTTAAACTCAAAGCAGCTCTCCGTTTTGCGGCTTTGCTTTGCATATGAATGCCCTTGATTGTTTTATCTTCCTCTCCTTTATTTTACAACGTAAGTGATTAGTCATTCCACAGGATTCCGATCGATCGAAAAGAGCTGAGGGCATTTTGCATTTTGCAAATTTATCCCTAAAACCCACAGTTGCTCTGAGCCTGTGGGATCCATTCCAGCACAATGCAAATGGGATAACAAGAAATGAGAACCCACAAGAATAATGCTGCTATTGTGTCTGCCCACTGTGTTTGGGGGACGTGGGGGTGGGGTGGGGGGTGGGGGGGCAGTAAGCGGGCAGGGAGGGGGGAAAGAGGAGGCCCATGGCATTTATTGCCCATAGTCGCGTCATCCGCGTCGCTCATACGGGGCTTGGCCTTATTTCCAGACGACGTTATAGATGAAGGGACAGAACGAAGGGCCCCGGTGTGTTCCCATGTTCATCAGCCTTGTGCTGGTGGCCGCGGGGGCGCCCAGAGCACGTGGGCCTCTCCATGAGCCAAGGGAAAACAGTAGGATGTGTTAGGGACCGTGGGCTGCTGTGCCAGGAGCACTCAGGGGAGGTGTAAGGGGGAACAGCGACACAGCTTTGGTTTTGTGGCCGCCGAGCCACACTGCCGCCCAGCACAGCCAACCGTGGGATCAGGGATTTGGGTGACGACACTGCATTTCAGGATGATCCTGCCTTGTCACAGACACAGGAAAACAGATGTGCCTCTTGTTTTCTTGGTCTGAATGTATAGAATTCCATCTATTCAAAGCAAGGACAGGCCAGGACTTAGCCCGTGGGAATCCATCCATGCTGGTGTGACCCAGAATCCTGTGCGCGGTCTGACTTCCACAGGACACAACCCAGTCTCTTCCTTTCATCATCTGGGGCAGTGGTTTTCAGAGTGGAGTCAAGCTTCTGTTTTGCTGAAAGCATCTCAAGGGTGGGCTCAGTGGCAGGTGAACCAGAGCAGTCTGAGGACCCACAGGCCCACAGCTGTTGGCCTCAGGCATGAAAATAACTGTAGGCTGCCCTGTGCTCGCTCCAGAGGGCACCTCGGCGAGGCTCACGGCCCGCTGCTCACTAGCTTGTGGTCTAGTATCTAGGTCAGGTGTAAATGGACGCTTACCTTTAAAGCTAACGCAGACTCTGGGGCAAGCGGGAGGGGTTTTCGATGCTTCATCTTGGGCAAATGAACCTTTCTGGGCCTTGGTTTCCTTATTTGTGAAACGACAACAATCCTAGTTTCTTCCTAATGTGGCTGTTGTGAGGTATAAATGAGAAAATATACGGAAAGCGCTTGGCGTGGCCCTCTGGGAAATAGCAGGGTACCAAGGCCGGCTACCATTACTACGACCATTACTATGAACTTCTCCCGGGAGTCCCACCATCTCTCTCCTTGCACTCGGGCCAGTAGGGCGTCTGCAACACCGAGGGATGACTCCAGGTCTTGTGGCGGTCAGAGCAGGGTGGGGGTGCTTTCTGAAGCTTTGCAGGAGAATTCCACGGTGCGCGAGGCCACTGTGCTCCAGGCACGTGGCTGTTCAAGCCTGATGGCACATTCTTTGTGGGGCAGCTGCCAAGGAACGAGGTAATCCAGTGACAGAAACACTGCCCAGGGCTTCGGTTTGCTAGTCCAGAGGGTTTCAGGTGGTGTCAAATTTTATTACTAGCATTCCTGGTCTCCATGAAATAACCATGTGACAGCACAAGTTACATGAAAGGACAAAAGTATGGGCCCAGACTAGCGCCGCGCAGACAACAGGCAGTTTGTTTCCTTTTGATAGTGATCCAAAGACGGGTTAAAAAAACACGAACGTAACAGCAAGATCACGTTCGTAGGCTGGTCTGTAACCCCCCATCAGCCCAGTGACGTGCCAACAAACTGATCCCTGAGCAAGTCCAGGGGGTGGGTGGCCCCTTAGCGCCACCCCCACAAGCGATGTGACCAAGGATGACTCAGGTCACTGCCTCAGTTCACCACCAGCCTCCTCAATGGGTGATGCTCAGGGGGATACCCACAGCCACACGGTGGGCACGAGTGGGCACCAGGGACTGCCAGCCCCCTTTCCTTAAGGGCGGCTGCGAAGGGGCTGCTCTGTCTGAGCAGAGAGCCTGGGGGTTCTGAAGCAGAGAAGGGCAGAGAGGACTGTTCTTTTTACGTGAGTATCCGAAACAGAAGTGGAGTGTGATGTAGAAATCTAGTGATTTCTATACCCAAAAGTAAGTGACCTCTGGCTAATAACTTGGGATTAAGTGAAGCCACAGGGTAACTATCGTGGCCACTAGAGCATTTATATCCCGTTGAGTCAATAAGAATTCCTAATGATTTGGAAACAGTAGTTCTTAAAAAGATCTACTGTGACCGTGTGGCTTGATAATATTGTTTGCAAGTGTGGCACGGACGTGATGCACATAAGCTACACGTTGTCAGAGGCAGGAGGCTCCTCAAATAAAATCATAGGATCTTACTGCAAACTTCACATCATCAAGTACAAACGCTCTTGATGGAGACATTTAAAATTATAATCCAAGTCAAAAGGAAAATAGATGCAGATTTGATTTTACAAAATTTGTCAATCAACCAGAAGAGTAAGGCACAATCGTGATGTATGGTGTGGCCGGCAACCCGCTTTCGGGAACATTGCCTTGGGAACAGCAGGAACCCCGGGAGCCAGCTTGGGGGGCAGCTCCTCTAAGTAAGTGGAAACAGTGGGAAGGGGAGGAGGCTGAAGGTTTTGGGAAAAGAACCTGCGTGGAGTGCTCGAGGTCCTGTCTGCTCTCGAGAGGCTAGTCTCTGCCAAGGACACGAGTCCTCCCCTCGAGGTGGGGAGCAGCGTCTTGGCGAATCTTGCTGCTGGAGATGGGCGGGGGGGGGTGGGCAGTGGCCGGCCCAGCGCCCCGGGAAGCCTGCCGTCAGCAGGTAGAGCACACCCACCCTCCGCTTGCCGCCAGAGCTCCAGCCCGTGGTGGCTCTGGGACAGGAAGAGGAGTGGGGCCACTGGAGGGCGAGGGCAGGGCGAGTCCCTCACGTCACTCTAACTCAGGGCCAGCACACTGCATGTCCTCCAACTAGGGGGACGGCATTCTACAGACCAAAAGCCAAGCAGGGCAGGATTTCTAGGCCACTCTGGCTGCCCAGGCAGTCTGGGAGAGGAACTGAGCTCAGGCACCAGGGTCTGTGGGGATGAGGGGATGGGGCTTCAGACCAGAGCTGTCGTAGAAAAGCAGTCAGGACGACCGGTGGTCATTGAGCCCGACGCCATTGTCAGCCGTGGGGGAAGCCTGGCGCCCGGACAGCTGCAGGCTGAGCCCACAAGGGGCAATTGCGTCTGTTACCAGGGCCTGCATTCGTTCTCAGGAAAAGCCCAGAAATTACCGAAGAACTGGTTCAGCTTCCAAGTTAGACAGGCTTGCCAGCCGGCTTCCACCACGGCTGTAGCCTGTACTAAAGCAAGGCCAGTGAGGCGTTGGCCAGGAGGCGGACTTTACCTGGGAGGCTGGGCGCCGATGGATGGAGGGGCTGCGGGTCCCCCAGGGGCCACCAGGAGGGCGGTGAGCGGCGGGCAGCCTCGAACGGCCTCTAGCGGCCAAGCTTCGCGGCGCACGCAGGACTCGCAGGGAGAGAGGGCTCTTCCATTTCCTCCCCCACAGCAGCGGTGGTGAGAACAGGAAACAAAGAAATCCAGAAGAAAAAAATGTCATTCCATCTTTAGTACGCAAAAAAAACCTCAGATACTAAATAGTTGTTCTCAAATAAAAATAATTTAGGCTGATTCTTTTGAGGGTGTATTTATTAAGTTCTAAGACCTTGAATAATTTTTCTTTGAAACATTCAAATGGAAAGAAAAACTAGGAAAACTAGAAATGTAACATCTTTCACAGAAGGCTGCAGGCACTCTTACTGTTACTATTATTATTCTTTTAAATTTGTATTATTTGCCTAATGAAAGGCTAGTATTTCTGACAGTGTCATCAGCCGGTTAACTTCATCTTGGCCTCCACTTGATGTCTTTTACTCCGTGGAAATGTCTCTTCAAAGCGGTGTTATCTGCCCACGGAGAATTTAAACAGGAGTCATCGTCATTTTCTTCCAATTTCTGGAAATAAAAATGTCTCACTCAGGAAGGCATTTCTGGAAAAGTGTTTTGCAACATCAACAGACTGAAGAAAGAACCCCCGAGTCCAAACTCCCACTCCCTGCCTGCCCAGAAGGAAGCTTCCAGACTTGGCTGCAGGTGGGCCACCAGGCAGGGTCCCCACGGCACAGGAGAGAACGGAGCTCCAGCAATGCCCCCCCCCACATCCTGCAAGACTCGCCGCCCCCCAAAGTGCCCTGCACGCTTGGGTGGGGCACGGGGGCCCCCTGGTGCCGGCTCTGTGGAAAACCTTCTGTCGATCCCGATACCTTGAGCTCCTCTTGTCTTCTGTGATAATACAGCATCAGCTGTTTCTGCTCCTCACTGCTGATCACGGGTTCCCGGGCGGGAGCTCCCTGTCCCCTCTGAAAAGATGCGGGCAGAGCAGTCTGTGGGTTACAGCCTTCCTCCAGGGGCAATCCAGGAGGTAACAGTGAGTGCTTCCAACTGCCTTTGCCCACAGCTACCCAGGTGACCCATTCTGACCATCACTCGAAGGCCTGGGCTCCAGCAGCCCCTTGCCCAGGGCCCTTGTGGGGGAGGGAGACCAGGAGGTGGGCAGTGCTGTTGGTCATGGCCATCCCCCCGTCAGCCACTGCAGGTCCAGTGGGGAGAGGAGGGAGATAATCATGGAGGACGCTGTGTCCCCGAAATCACAGAGAAACGACTGTGACAGAGCACCTTGGGGAGACACAGCCCTATGCTACCTCCATCTGTAAAGCCTTCTGGCATATCCTCCTTGTTTACAGAGTATCAGTACTTTGAAAACTTGAAATCCGTGCTCTAGGCTGTAGTTTTCATTTCAAGAAACATTTTCAGTTACTTGTAGCCCATTTCTAAAGTTGAAATCAACATGGCTTATCTACCCCCCAACTCCCCACCCCGCCATTAAAACAAACTCCAGATAGTGTCAATCAAGCCATATATTCTAGTTTCTGCTGGTACATAAAGAGGATAGTTTTACTTTAAGCCTGGACTACTGGCACTAAAGTATTTGCAACAAGGACGTTAAGTCAGATTTATTCTAAATTTTTATCAGTTGGAAAATAATTAAAAAATTGTGACATGTTAAAGCAAAAGTACTTACTTGCTGAATCTTGACGATAATTTTGGTTTTTTCATTTTTGCCCACATAGTCTGAAAGCTTCTTTGTTCTTCTCAGCTCCTTGGCTGCCCACCACAGTTGGGCCTCTGATTCTTCAATGACACTCAGTCCTGCCTGGGGCCACGGTTAAGAACTGGCTCTAAGGTTTATCGGGACACTGCCCCCAGTGTGTGATCCTACCCCCGGTTCACTGAGCCTGGCTGGTGCCCACCCCCACCCCCCACCAGTATGGGGCAGGTTCTGCCATCTCTAGCCCCTCCACCTCCTCTCCCCACATCGGGAAGAACCAACCCCTCCAACGAGTCAAAGGCCTTGCTCATTTTTTTTTTTTTGGAAGAGCGAGAGAAAGAGGGAGAGAGAATCCCAAGCAGGCTCCACACTGAGCGGAGCCTGACATGGGGCTTGATCTCATGACCCTGAGGATCATGATCTGAGCCGAAATCAAGAGTTGGACACTTAATCAACGGAGTCACCCAGGCGCTCCGCCCTTGCTCATTTTAATGCCTTCCCTGTTAGTTTCAACTCACACCCGACTCAGTTAATTTCTTGTTCTGGGAAGTGAGGAGTATCTGGTATCATCTGTACCCTTCTCTACAAGGTCCTTCTCAGATGGAATTTCAGGATCCTGCCAGGAAAGAACACTGGAATCCTGCTGGGTTTTAAATATAGGCATAATGAGGCTGTTTGTTTGCTTCTGCATATCCACCTATTTAAGATGGCTCAGAGCCACAGGTACTGCCCAATAGGATAAGGAATAAATGAGAAAAACAAGGGAAAACAGAACATAAAGGTAGGGGGTTGCCTGGGTGGCTCAGTCGTTAAGCGTCTGCCTTCGGCTCAGGTCATGATCCCAGGGTCCTGGAATCGAGCCCCGCATCGGGCTCCCTGCTCCGCAGGAAGCATGCTTCTCCCTCTGCCCCTCCCCACTGTTTGTGTTCCCTCTCTCGCTGCTCGCTGTGTCTCTCTCTGTCAAATAAATAAAGCCTTTAAAAAAAAAAAAGAACATAAAGGTAGGAAAATAACATGAAGCAAAAGGTTAAGGCCAGAACACAAAATTCCATGCAAAGGGACCAATACATTTTGGGTAGAAATAGGCACAAATTAGGTTTCTGGCTTCCCAGTGGCCAAAGAAAATGGGAATGTTTTCAGTTCCTCCTGATGGGCAGCCTCACAAACCTTCCTGCCTGCCCCTCTGGGTGCCCTCACCCAGCAGCGCTACCTTCGGGGTCCTCCCCTAAGCTCAGGACTCCGCCCCGAGGCACAGGAAGCATGGTGCAAAGCCGTGTGTGGAGCAAAAGGCTACATCCAGGGGCAGAGGGCCAAATCCGAGGTGACCCACCTTACAGAATGCCCACGAGCCGCATACCTGAGTTCCAGACAAATCTTCCTTGTTTTCAAATTCCATCCGGATGGGATCGTAGGGCGGCAGCCCCATGGGATAAACAATCATCACTGCACCCCGAAGCTGGTCCAAGGCGTCTTTCACCATCTCCATGGTAACGCAGACTCCAGCTTCCACTTGCTTCTAAAAGGGCAAGGACAGGCATCACTATTTACAGTGGGGCTAACCCATTCAATAAATACCAAGTTCTCGTACAAGACTCACCAGGTACTGCCCGAGCCACTACGTCTACCCCCGGGGGCGTCTGTGTGCCCACCACGGTCTAGACCTTAAGGCAGACTGAGCGGGGCTGAGAGGACACTCAGCACAGCACAGACCGAGGGGGTCAGGCAACGTCTCGGGGGAAGGTGGCCCGGGTGGTGAGTGACAGGGCCAAGATGGGAACAGGGTGCTCCAGGACCAGCAGAAGCAAAGAGCACCGGCGGGCGAGCACTGCGGGCCGCTCTGCTGGGAGCGGGCAGGCGATGGCAGCTAGCGTTGGACAGGGAGCCGGGGCTTGCGCTGGAAGGGCCACGGAAGCCAGGCTGGGGAGTCTGCACTGAGCACAGCACAAGGCCAGGGAGAGCAGGAGGCAGGCTCAGGGGAGAGCAGAGGGGTGCTGATACAGTGGGGAATACATCTCCTTGTCCCCTGCTCCTGGCAAAGCGCTTCAAAATCCCCAGGAATTTCCTGAGTGGTAGGAATGTCTGTTGTTATTCATAATGAGCCCCTTTGGACCGCCCTGAGTTTATGCTAACGAGGTGACCCGCCTGGGACCTCCTGTCAAGGGGGAGGCTGGTCACCCCAGGGAGACCAAGCTGGGGTTGGAACTTCCAGGGAGAAGGCAGGGGGCTGGAGAGGAGTTAAATCATGTGGCCAATCATTTAATCACTCATGCCCACGTAATGAAACCCTGCTAAAAATTCTGGGTAGTGAGCCCAGTGGAGCTTCCTGGTTGAACACACTGATGTTTGAAGATGGGTGCCTGGAACCTCAGGAGCAGGGCGTGGCAGCTCTGTAAGCTGCCCTGCCGCCCCCCCCCCCCCCGGACCTTGCCCTAAGTCTCTTCTGTCTGGCGGTTTCTTGAGTTGCATCCTTTATAACAAAACGATAATAGTAAGTATAGCACTTGCAGTGTGTTCCGTGAGTTGTTCTAGCAAACTGGTGAACCTGGAAGGGGGTCTCGGGAACCTCCAAATGTGGAGCCAGGACAGAAGCGTGGGTGGCCTGGTGTCTGAAGGGAGGGGGTCCTTGCAGGGGCCTTGTCCTTTCACTTGTGGGGTCTGTGCCAATCCCAGGTAGTTAGTGTCGAACCTGAACTCAGGCCACCCTGTTGGTGTCTAAAAGGCCTGAAAGAAAGCGGCAGCTGAGGCCATGGAAGGAGGAGTGGGGTTGGAGAGGCATCGTGGGACAGATGGTACAGGACCCAAGCTGAGGCTTGGGGGTGGCGGCAGGGAGGGCTACAGCCCGTGTGATCCGAGGCACCGGGGGCTCCGCTGACACAAGGAGGAAGTCAGCGGGAGGTGTTTCTTCCTGGGTCCAGAGCACAGGGAGAGGCGCGAGGAATCAATGAGCTCTCGGGTCTAGGAAAATTGAGACGAAGTCCTGACTGGCAGGCTTTCAGGTAGAACCATCTAGGAACCAGGAAGAAACTCAGGTGCAACGAAGGCAGGTGTCAGGGGGAGGAGGCAGATCTGAGTTACCTGCAGAGGTAAGTGTGCATCTGGCAGAGGAGGGAAAACACTGGGGGAAGAGCTGAAAGGAGAAGCGGGCCAAGGAGAAAGCACTCTGATTAATAGCAAATGTAAGGGCAAGGGCGCTCAGGGAGCTGGGAAGGAACAGGAAGACAGGAGGATCTCCCATGTGCTCAAAGGCCAGAGTCAGACAGGAAAAGCCTCAGATCTGCGGGTCAGGGGGTCACCAGTGGCCCCAAGACGCTGTGGGGGAAGTAAACAGAGGCAGGGTTCTGAGAAACCCGGAGCACCTCAGCTTTGGGAAGCTTACTGGGAGGGAAAGGCGGGCGACTGGGTGCTGTGAGGGTGAAGCTGCAGAGAACTGATTTCCAGGGAAGGAAAGAGGCCCGAGTGCATTAACAGGGTAGACGCAGCCCATGGGAGGGGAGACACTGGGCATTACCCCCGTCCTGGGTTTCTAGAAGGTGGGGATCCAGACAAGCTGCAGTGGGAGCAGCAGTAGAAAGGGGAGAGAGCCGGGGGACGAGACACACGGGTCAATTCGAGTCTCCAGGGACGGACGAGGGGGTGGCAGGAAGAGAAGACCTGCGGGAGGGACAGAGAAGCGAGGGCTCCTGCCCAACAGCCCTGACCTCTCTGCCAAGCAGGAAGTGAAGCTGCCCACGGACACAGGCCATTTGGAGCCTCAGAGCCTGGGGCCTCCTGCCCACAGAGAGCCGGCCAGGGCCCAGCTGGACGAGGAGGTGAGTTGGGAAAGTGGGCCTAGAGGGACTCCACGGCAGGGCAGGATGGAAGGTCCTGCACTAAGGGGGACACATCGCAGCTCACATCTGGGCTGGGACCTTTCTGGGTAACAGCGTTATAATGGCACTGAGTGGTAGATGAGTAACACAGAAGGAGAAGATCCCTGCTCCTGAGAAAATGCAGGCCGTCCTATAGTGTGGACACCCAGGTCCCAGAGAGGGGTGAGGACAGGTGGGATCTGTGTCCTGAGGGAGGAAGGCGGACCGTTCGCTGGGTGTCCAGACTGAAACTCCCGAAAGCTAGGTTCTCATCTGTGAACTGAAGGGTGTTATTCCTGCCTCACCTACTCCCAGGGGCTCATGAGACCCTTTCCTGACCCAAATCCCCATAAAACACATCAGGTCTTCCCAGGAGAGACCCATGCCGAAGGATCGGTGAGAAGAGCTCTCAGATACGGGGTCACGTGAGGGAAGGCTTCTGCAGGGAGGGTGTCACCTGCGCCAATACCAAGTGGTGGGGTGCCAGGGTCATTTTCTGTAAAAGCTCCTCCAAAGGCCAAGGGCAGCGAACCCCGGCCAGGGAGCAACTATGGTGTGGCCTCAGGACAACAGACACCCCAACAGTCTCTTGCTCTCCGCAGAGGGGCGTCCCAGGGAATGGGGCTGCAGAGACACAGTCGTCTCATTCCCCGGGAGCCACCTCGTCTGGATGTTCCACCATCTTTCACTCTCCCCGTAACCAACCTCCCACCACGGGACTCGAACGCTTGGAACACCAGACCCACAGTGCTAAGTGCCCCCACAGGGCAGGGTCTGGTGAGGGGACAGCGACCCGCACTGCATGTCTGGCGGACGGCGTAGAAAGGGCCCTAGGCGAGAAGTTGGGCCTGCTGCTCGGGGGCTCAGCAACTTGGGCCAGTCATGGCAGTGGAGGACTGGAACCCCTGGAAACCTCTCTGTAAACTAGGAGAGAATTGCATAAACATATCCCCAGGCAAAGGGAAGAGGGGAGACAAGTGCCCAGAACCAGTCTGGGGAGGGAAGGGTGCAGAGCCATGCCCAGGCTACTGTTTTCCTAACTCGTCCTGACAGGCGCTAGTTTGACCAGGTGTTAATAGTTATTATCATTAGCAATACTTTAATTAAAAAAAACAAACAAACAGGGCGCCTGAGTGGCTCAGTCGGTTAAGCGACTGCCTTCAGCTCAGGTCATGATCCTGGAGTCCTGGGATCGAGTCCCGCATCGGGCTCCCTGCTCGGCAGGGAGTCTGCTTCTCC